TGAGAGGAGGTCTAGCATTTACGCTGACCCCAGTCCTGGGGTTTAGAAGAAGTGAGAATTCCCATTAAGCCATTAGTTCCACACTGTTGCTGAAACGTCCATCCTTCCTGTCCCCGCTACTTGTTGGGGGCAACACGGCTGCTCTCGTTTCCCAAGGCTGAAAGCAGACGGACCCTCTGATCTCCCCACCCCGTGAGCCTTCATAGGGTGTTAAAAAAATAAATAGAAGGACCACATGAATAAAGCCATTCTGCAAGGCCAGCACCATGCATCACAGACGGAGTCTGCTCTAAATCAAGACAGCCTGGGCCAGTCCGGACAGCAGGCCCCTAGCAGTGGGGCCTGCATTGTCCCCGTAATCCCACATAGGCGCCAGAACAATGGCCCGGGTGTTCTGTCCCCGGCACCAGCCGGGCCCTTCTGTGCGGCAGGCGACAGGCGGGGTGGGGCAGCCAGGCATGCTGTCCATCCGGCCGAGCCCCCCCTCCCTCCGCAACGGATCCTGGTCCGGGTGTCACCACTGTCCAGCCCGCCTTGCCTGGAAACCCATCTTGATTGTCTTGCTTTCCCCTGGTCGTGGACCCATCTCAGTTTCTCAGCCCGGCACAGAACACAGCCTAAAGACCCACGGTCAAAGCTTCTGACTTTGAACTCCTCTGGGCTCCAGGCTGGATCTGCTGCTCGTGAGCTGGGGCTTTGGGGCAAGTCCTAGCAGTGCCCCAGGCCTCAGTTTCCCCATCTGCTAATGCACCTGACAGCAGGCCCGGGGGAGGGATGAACCGGCTGACATCAGCAGCGACAAGGGTGAGCAAGGCCGGGACCTCTGGTGGTGCTGACAGTGGGGACTCCAGTCCAAGCCATGTGCAGGCCAAAGAGGCCACGTTGCTCGACCACAGACTTATCATCTCCTAAGGAAATAATGCACAATGAAGATGGAGAACCAGGCCTCAAGGTCTTGTTGAAAAGGGGAAGCCAGGGGGCTCTTGGGTGGCTCAGATGGTTAAGCATTGGCCTTCAGCTCAGGTTGTGATCTCAGGGTCCTGGGATCGAGCCCCGCATCAGGCTCCCTGCTCAGCGGGGAGTCTGTTTCCCCTGCTCTGCTGCACCCCCTGCTTGTGTTCTCGCTCTCTGTCAAATAAATAAAACTTTAAAAAGCAAAGAAAAGAAAAAGGGGAAGCTGGGAATAATAGTAGCTACCACATCCAGGTCCTTACCCGACGTGGTTCCAAGCACCTCCCTCTATTTGCTCAACTGTGAGAGGCAGACACTGCGTTACCCCCGTTTTGGACTTCAGAGGACTGAGGCCCAGAGAAGGTAAGCAACATACCCAAGGTGGCCAGCAAGTGCTGCAGCTGGAAGGTGAGCCCACACCAGCCGGCTCTAAGAGCTGCCCTCCCGCCCACAGCACTACAGCGCCCCTCCCCCAACAAAGTAAGCCGAGGCTCCTTTAAAGGAAGGTCGCCCTAGACAAAAGCATCACATTTTTTAAATGAAAACGTTTCCGAGTGTGTCAAAACGGAACATGACATAGCAAGTCAACCCACTCAACTCTTCATTTCATAGATAAAGAAACTACAGCCCAGGAAGGGAGAGCGACTTGGCCATGGCCAGGCAGTGGGGGCATGAAGACTGGTCTTTTCGGATTCTAGTGTCTCTTACGTCCATTTCTATCGACTACATTTCATGCAAGGTACCAGGATGTGGGTCTATTGCTTCATTACAATAAAACCCGGGGGGTTATTGGCAATCTGACAGTCAACCCACTTCTTCTTCATGTGGAAATCATGGCAAGAGGCAGGTGGAGAAGTGCTATGGGCCACAGTCCACAGGATCCAGAATGGCCCAACTGGAAGGTCCCTTAGAGAACATCTGTTCTGAGTCCCTATGAAACAGAGGGGAAACTGGCAGGTGCACCAGGCTCAGCACGATTTTAATGACTGTGGAAAGACACCAGTGTGCCGGCGTAATTGACCCTTTGTAATAAATGGGTACATTTGCAACTGTAGCATACACATGAGCTATTGGGATAGCTTCGGATAATAAAACCTTTTATTTATTTATTTATTTTTTATTAAAAAGATTTTATTTATTTGACAGAGATCACAAGTAGGCAGAGAGGCAGGCAGGGAGAGAGAGGGAGAAGAAGGCTCCCCGCTGAGCAGAGAGCCCGATTCAGGGATCGATCCCAGGACCCTAAGATCATGACCTGAGCTAAAGGCAGAGGCTTAACCCACTGAGCCACCCAGCTGCCCCAATAAATAAACCCTTTTAAATGCAGAAGTGACAAAGGCAAAAGGTGAAGGTCAAAAATGTCTCACTGCACCTGCAGTTCGAGAGGGCATCCAAGCTCCCCCACCCCAGTGAACATGGGTGACTTTCCCTTTCTATCTACCAGCAACCCTTTCACACCTGGGAACATGCCTGAGCTGCCAATCATGAAGCCCCACCTCCCTGCCCACGGGATGTGCATGTGACCTAAGTTGAGCCAATCAGGGTCCTTTTAAGGGAATGACAGACACCAAGGGCTCCCTCTTCCCCGGGATCAATACCCAGAAGAACCACCATAGCTGGACCCTTGCTGCTGTACAGAGACCACTGAAGCCACACCCAGAGAAAAGAGAGATGAGAGGAAGCTACTGCTGGAACCCTGGATCCAGCCACACCTAAAGTCCAGAAACCGTGAGCTTCCCAGTTTAGAAAGCCACTCAATTCCCCTTTTTTGCTTCAAGGACTTTGAGCATTCAGACAAATGGATGATAACCAACAGTCCCCAGTGAAACTTCACACCAGAATTCTATTTCCCAAGATCAGCCTCGGTCTCCAGCTCGCTCAACCAAACTGAGCCAAGTTCTAGACCTGAAAGGAACTCTGCAGCCTGCTCGTGGAATGGGGTTTCCTTTGGAGGTGAACGGAAATGTTCTGGAACTAGATAGGGATGGTGGTTGCCCAACACTGTGACTGTGCTTTAACACCACTGAGTCATACGCTTGAAAATGGGGAAAATGAGCAATTTTATGTCACTGCATTTTACCATGATGTTTTAAATGGGAAGACAAAAGGAGACCGGCAAGATTTAAAAGACCATCCCACTGGCGAGTGCTCTCTCCCCACATGCCCTCCCTTCCCTGCTGGCCACGAAGGCGCAGGTCCAGGTTGGCCAGCGGGAAGAGGAATGCGTGTGGAAGGTGGCATTCAGCAGGAGACCTTTGGCCCTGAAACAGGCACTCGGGTATTTCTCATTCTGCTCCCACAAAGGAGAGCCCTGAAAGCTGGGTAACCATTAAACCCCAAACGGACCTGGAGAAAAACAGCCTGTGGGGCTGAGTAGGGGGCTCTCCAGAACCGGGGTGTTAGCCAGTGACGCTGGGGAGGATGGAAACTCCATGACATTTATGAAATAAACACTTACTGTCTCCCAGACCTGGTGCTAACCCGCTCAGAGAAGACCAGCTGATAACTCAGACCTTTTTAAAAATGATTTTCGTACCTGTGGACTCTGGGAACCCCGCCTCCTGAAAACGTATCCTAAAGAAATAATTCAGTGGGAAAGACAAAGGAGCTGCATTTATTAAAATGTTGGTTGGAACATTACTTATAAAAATAAAAACTGGAAGCAGCCCCAAAAGCCAACAACAGGGGAACACTGAGTACATTACTGTGCACCAGTACACCGAACAGCACACTCAGCCACCAGAAAAACGCTCGTGACAAAGACTGCAGCAGCATCATTTATGAAATTACATCAGTGGGGGCAGGGGGGTGGTGCCCACCTAGAGTGTGATTTTCGGGCTGAGATGCGCAGGGGTGGGGGGAGCTCACCTCCAGAGCTGGCAGGAAGACTGGAAAAGACATGCCACGATAATGCAAGGATGGGAATTCTTTTTTCTTTCCTAACATGATTTTTTAAGCCCAAGTTTTATTTGTGGGATAATTTTAGACCTACGGAAAAGCTGCAGGAGGGATGTAGGGGAGTTTCCACACACCCCACACTCCATGTGCGTGTTGGCTAACATCAGACGTTCCTGCGCTAAGCTGGCACAGTGGAGAAGCTGACCCAGAAATGTTACCATTAACCAAACTCCAGACCTGGTTCCGATTTCACCAGTTTTTCTGTTCCAGGATCCAATCCATGATACCATGAACCATACGACCTATTCTTGTGTTTGTTCTGTTTTTGGTTCTTAGAATTCAGTGGCTTTTCACACAGTCTCAAATCTGTGCAACCATCACCACAGTCAACTGAAGAATATCTCTATCCACTCAGAAAGCAAGCCCATATCACGTTCTGATCATGGGCTGTGAGAAACCCTTTTGCAAAAGGAAGAACCCTTTGGAAGGAGAGAACTCTTCCTCACCTCCCTTCCTTATCTTTCTGGAAATCAGGCTTTCTCTTTTCAGTGGGACCCCAAACCCTCACCCCACATGAACCATCTCGGACATTTCTGATGGTATCAATTTTGATTATATCCAGACCAGAAAAGCACCTGGCAAGAGAGCCCTCCACGTAAAACTTAGGAAACTCAGGGGCAAAACCCCTCTTCCTACTAACCTAGCAAGGGCTGGGAGTACAGGTGTTTTTACTAGCACCCATCGTGTGCCAGACCCTGGTTAGAGGACATGCACGAAGTCTCCCGATGTGTCCTCACGGCCACCACTGGAAGTCAGCCACCGTCACCCATGATCCAAGTAGGCAGTGGCCACCACCTTGGTCATCCTTCCAGCCCCCTTCTTCACGAAACACCTCCCCCATCCCAGAGGTAGGCCCTCAGCGGCCACGTTTCCATTATGTGGTGGTCACGATCACAAGCCCAGCTATAGCCCCCTGCCCACACCCCACCAACAGCCCTGGGAACATGTCCTTAGTGGCTCTGGGGATCCAGAGATGTGGCATGGCTTGCTTTCCATCCTAGGAGCTCAACCCAGCCCACCCCGTCCCTGGGGATGGTGATCTCGGTGGGATGTGACCCGCCCAGACCCAGAAAGGACCCAAGACCACTAACCTGCACGACCTCCTTCACCAGGGTCTTGTCCGTACCGGTTTTGGCTCGCTGCAGCCCGCTGACGTTCTCGCCGATCCACGTGATGAGGGCGAACTTGGACCTCTTGCTCATGGCATCCCCCGTGGTGAAGCGCAGGAAGGCAAACAACCGGACGTCATCTGTCGTCAACAGCAAAAACAGGGCACCGTGCTCGGTGAGAACATTCCCAGACTTCGCTCCCAAGGAGGAGCCATGAGCCAGAATGCTCCCAGAGCAGCACGGCAGGAGCCCAACACTGACCTTGGCCAACGTCCCCTCATGCAATCCGGCGACGGCGCCCCAGGCTCCGAGGCCCATTTCACAGCTGGGAGCAGAGGGGCACAAGTGACATTCCCGAGGCCACGTGGACATTTCAAGGCCATGGTGGTATGGGAACACAGGCCTCAATGGCCATTAACCCTGAGCTCCCCACCCCCAATCCCTCTCGTGGTCAAGGAAGGCTCAGATTCTGGGTCTGATTTATCAAGACCTTCCTCAGGTCTTCTTATCTCCCGAGGCGCTGCTCGGAATGGGAACCGAGATGGGGGGTGGATGGTGGGGGGACAAGGTGGCCCTGATCTTGGCATGGGATATGTCTCTAGGACCAATGGGCATGTCTAGCTCGTGGCTGGATGGTTAGCGCAATGAAGAATGCCGAGTATGGTTCCGTTGGGTGTGTCCTGCTAGTTACGTGTTACAGATCTGTTGTTATTAAAAGGCCTTGGGTGGGGGGGTTGTCCCACTGGTCCACATCCATCCACCTTTTGTTTCATTACCACGCTTTTTTCCATTATTGTCCCTTCCGATGGCCCATTATAAAATATTATAAAAATATTGGCGACAGTCTTGAGATTTTAGGGTGACCCTGCAGAGTGTGCGTTTCCCACAGGATGGGCTAGGGTTTCTCCGCCTCAGCACTCCTGATTCTTGGGGCTGGACCACTCTTAGTGGTCACGACTAGCCCGTTCAAGGCACGGTTCCTGAACGGCATCCCTGGGCCCCACCCACTGGAGACCAGTATCAGCCCCCCATCCCAGTTACAACAACCAAAAATGTGGCCAGACATTGCCCCGCGTCCTCTCGGAGGGGGAACTGCCCCCAGCTGAGAAGGAACTTCTGGGTAGTTTGTGTCCCCATCGAATCAAGACCCTCTGCATTTTCCACCAACATTTTGTGCTCAGCTTAGTTCCTAAATAGTCCGTATTTTAATTGCCATTATCGGAGAGAGCTCATCATTGTCCCTAACGGGAGATGGTTGCCCAGTATCAGCTTTGGGCTGTTCACGTCTGGCTAGCTGCTCGGCTCAGCTCTTTTGTTCTCAAAGGGCTTCTAGCTACTGCCTTTAGGATTTCTCAAGTCTTCAAAGAGAGTGGAGAGCTGTGCTGCACAAGCATCTGTGTGTGTCTCTGAATCGCTTGGGGATCTCCCCAAAATGCACATTCAGAGCTCACAGATCTCGGATGGGCTCCTGGGTGACGCTGATCTGTGAGTCCAAGGACCACACGGGGGCTTCTCTGTGTATTTTCTTTTTTTAAATCAAGGCATCTTCCTCCTTAGACTTCCCAGGTGCCTCCCTGCTGAACCCCACAGAGTGTATAGGTTTACAGCAAGACCCAAGGCCCCACGCCCTCTGAGTGTAAGGAAGACCATCTAAAGCTGGTTAAGGTCGCTGCCTGGCTGGGAACAGCAGAGCCTGAGCAAATCCTGGCCTGTGAGCCATGCCGTCTCATGGGCACCCGAGGGAGCCAAGGAACACAGCTCTCCGCCAGTCCCAGGCTCCTGATTTGGACCTTGCGGTCCAGGCCAGGCAGCTCCACGGCACTGATGTCTTAACGGGAACGGATCACAATCACCAGTCACAGTTTATAAAACACACTGATATTTCACGGTCTCAGGTTGGCTTTATAATGATGCTGTGAGGTGGGCCACAGGGGAGGGGACACTGCTGTCGTCTTCATCAACAGGCACTTCATTGTGTTACAGATATGGCTTAGAAGTCATGCGATGGGGCCAAGGTGACTCATGACAGTAAGCCTGGGTGGCCTGGGTGTGTCTGCCCGGCCAAAGGAGTCTGGAGGATACCCACTGTGGGACTGGACCATGGGGTCAGTGGGGACAGAGAAGGACGGTCGCAGGGTTGTTTCAAAGGCCAAATCAACAGGGCTTCGTGGCAGACTGGCCACGGGAGGGAAGGAAGCAGAAGTCCGGGGACTCCCAAACAGGGTGAGGGCTCCAGCTCTTATCCTCAAGGACTCGGACTTAATCCCCAAGCACTGAGCCTCAGCTGCCTCGTCTGTAAAATGGGGTGATCTTTTTTGGTCCATCCTTTCCTTTTCTTAAAAAAGAAGTCACAGTAAAAGGTTAAAGCCACAGAACAGAAGGCTCATCCTTGTAACTACTTTACAGGGTACAATACCGTGGCCTCGAGTACACTCACGATGCTTTGCGACCCAACCACTACCCATGACAGTCCTTCCCCTGCCCCTCCACCCAGCCCGAAGCAACACAAATCTGCCTTTTGCCTCTGGATCTGCCTACTCGGGACATCTCACGTAGATAGACGCCCACGATCTGTGGCCTTCTTTCACTCAGCACATTGGTGTCATCGGTCCTCCCCTTTACGGCTGAATAATACTCTCGGGTATGGGTATGCCCCCTTCTGCTCATCCATTCACCTGCTGAGGCACATCTGGGAGGTTTCCCGGTTGGCGTGATTCTGCACCTCCCTCATCAGTCACAAGGATTAAACAGGAACACTGTGCACCCAACCCGCCCGGCCACGGTGAGAACGCCTCCGTGAGGCTGCGGCCACGGGACGGAGCTGCCAGGTGGGTGGCAGGATGGGGGAACTGAACGTACGCAGCCACGCGTGGCTGGTGCGGCCTTGGGGGGAAGCCCCCCCTTCCCCCAGTTCCGGAGCTGCACGGGGGAAGCCAGCATGCTCCTCTGAGCAGCTGCACGGCCGTGGTAGAGGAAACCCAGACGCCGTGGCAGGGTGTTTAATGAAACTGCTGCCTTGATCAGAGAGGGAGGCAGGGCTGCATGCTGGGAGCCTCCCGACTTGCTCATGCCAAGGCAGCCTGTTTCCATGGGAACCACTCTGTCTCCCATCCCCACACTGGAAGCCTGGAGGCTTGGGTGCCTGTGTCGGCAGCTGGGTCCCCAGCACCCCATCACTGGCCAAAGCCTCCACGTGGGGAAGTTCCAAGCTGTGTGTCCCACGTACCAGCCCAGGACCAGGCATGAGATATACACACAAGAAGTGAGTCCCGCCACCCCCACCCCCCCAACCAAGGGCACGGGGAACTTGGCGGCAGCGGACCTGCCCCAATGTCATTTACATTCTACTGACAGGAGGGACGGGTTTTCCTGGGTGGCTGCTGGGCGCTTATCTGACAATGCTGTGGCCAAAATGATTGCTGAAGTTTTTGAAAATCCAAGAGTCACATTATGCTTACAGACGTGTACGGCCCCAGACGCTGAAAAGTCAGCTGAGTCTGCAAGGGAAAGCGGGTTTGTGGAGCGACATTGTTGGAGCTGCCCACACGACCCGAAGCCTCTCTCCCCCACTCACCCTGAAGGAGGCTCAAGCCTGCTCTGACCTCCAGCTGGCTGGTGCAGGGGGAAGTTTTAGTTCTTAGTCATGAGTTGGGCCACCTTCCTACTTCTGGACAAACGGGGCTGACAAAAACACGTGTGCAGCATCTGAGTGGAGAACAGCACCCCCCTTTTCTCCTGCAGGGACCCCGCTCACACACAGGAAAACGTGGGTGTACAACCAGAAAGGCAGAGCGAAGCCACATCGTACACAGGGAGAACGCGTGAGTGTGCACTTGCACGCATGTGTGCCTGGATGTGTGTACACGCCCCTGTGTGTGTGTGCACTATGATGGCAGCTGGCCAGGAGGGCGTGGGACTGGGGACGCCCGTCACCCTTCATGGTGCTGCTCGGTCCCCAGAGGGCCCGTGGCACATCTTTCCAGCCGGAGGCTCAGGAGCTGGGGCTGCAGCTCCGGGTAACCCCCGTGGGGGGAGCCGGGCCCAGGCCTCTGCACAGACGTCTACATCAGCTGCTGCCTCAGCTAGTCCCCCTCTGCCTTCTGCTCCCCAGCACCCAGGCTGACAGGCCAAGCTCTAGAATCCATTAGAAGCACCCGCACCTTCACGCCAGCTCCGTGACCTGGACCAGATGCACGCAGAGCTCTAAACCTCCCAGTCCTCAAAGGCACAGTCCAGAGGCCGCGGTAAGGATTACAGGAAAGGGGATCTGTGCCGGGCGTGGCTCCTGGGTCCTCACCTCTCTGCTGAAACTGCCCCAGGCGGGGGCCGCAGTGCCTCCAAGCCCGCCAGCCCCAACCGTGGCCTCCCTGCTTCTCCCTCTACTTGGGCTTTCTGCACCCACCACACTATGCTCGCTCCTCTGCATTTAAAAGCAGGGGCATTCCCAGGCACACAGGCATTGGCCACTGTTCGTGAGCACTGCTCTGGGAGCACTGCTCAAGGACCTACTAGGTGCCAAGCACAGTGCTAAGCACTGGGGCGGGCAGATTAGACAAACAAGGGTCCTGAGAATAACAGAAGCCATTTACTGAGCGCTGACAACATGCCAGGCACCGTTCTAAGTGCATACATCTGTTGGCACATTTCTTTACCCCAAGACTGTCTCCGTGTGGTCGACACTGCTCCCAGGCCCATTTCCCAGCTAAAAAAACTGAGGCTTAGAATGCGGATGTAGTCAGCAGCCAGAACCCACTTTCCCTGCCCGTTGGAGCACTGTTCCCAGAGGAGGGCCCCCTGGAACCAGCAGCGTCAGCAGCCCCCAGGAAACCATGGGACCGTGGCTGCTGGGGGTCCAGCCCAGACTTGCTGATTCACCAGCTCTGGGAGGACGCGCCCCTGGGGGACTCTGGTGCCTCCAAAGCCTGAGAAGCACTGATCTAGAGAAAGCCGGGAAGGGAGGAGAGCCCACACCAGCCCTGGCAGGGGAGGGGTGAAACGGAAGTTCTCAAGGGCAGAGAAGCTGAAGCGCCCTGAGTTCAGCCCATCCCCTTCCTTCCCACCCACACTTCTTTTAGTTTGAGGAAGTGATCGTGAAAAGGAGCTTCCTGTATGGCCTGGCTTCTCCACATCAGAATTTACA